CCACCCCCATTGCATTTTCTAAGGGCTTTGGAGGACCTATAAAATATAGTTACCATGAAAAAATTGTTAAAGAAACAATTGCACTGAAGATAAATAAAGTTTTCCGATCGAAAAATATTGATTTTCAAGAATTCTACACTATTTCTATGAAAAGATGTTTTTTCTCCATATAAAATATATGGAAAACTTTGAGCGCTTTGAGCACTACCTAAATTATTTTTTATTTCAAAATAAAAAAATATGGGTATAATTTTTTTCGCTATATAACAATCCTAGGGGGTGGCGGCATTAAAAATCCGACCTTATTTTTTTTAACATACATTTTTGGACCACTTTAATGTACATATCCACTCTACCAGGTTGTCCGTTAAGGAAGTGTAACACAAAAAAAAAAAATTTACTAATAGAACGAACTAAAATTTAACTAAAATGTATTGTCAAAAAAGAAAAATAACAAAGAACTTGGAATGAAATCTAAGTTTTTGTTTGTTTTAATTTTTTTTTATGCACAGCCGTTAGTTGCCAAGTTTCTGTTACTGTGCTACACTATTTCTAAATAGCTGGCCTTTGTTGTAGTGTTGCAGTTGTATTATTTATATTTTTAATTGTTGTATGCATGCGATTTTGCTCTTAGTTTAGCGTACAATTTTTAAGTTTTGAAGCGCAAATGCAGCACACAGTACAGCTGTTTAAATTTTGCTATGCTTGTAATTATGTATTTGTATTTTTTTTAACTACATTCATTTTTCATGTTTTTACATGCCTTGGTTGAGTAAACGTACATATAGTATATGTATGTATTTTAAAGCATATTTACATGTTTTTTTAAGTTTTTTTAGTTTTATTTTTGAACATTTGGAACACATTTTCTTATATAAAAACATAGACAATAAAATAAACGATTTAACTAAAATAAAAAATTTGCTATAAAATGCCAACGTTCTTACAATACTCATATACCATTTATGTGCACTTAGCACTTTCTACCTGCTAAATACTAAATGTTGGTCTTTGTATGTAATTTTAAACTATTAAACTACCGATAATATAAGTTGAGCGTCAAAAGTATGAATAACGTTTCTTTATTTATAATTTCCATACCAAATTTTTTTTTTATTTTTTTTTTGGTGGTACACCCTTATATACATACAGTCTGCGTCATAAAAATGTAAAAATTTTAAAGTGTTGACAATTTTATATACCAATATTTTCAATGCCATATTTTTAGATTTTTTTTTTTTATAAAATATAGTTCATTCAACATAGAAAACCAGCAGAATAAATTTTTTCTATTTCATATATATAGAAATCGGGAAAATTCAAGAAATACTAAAAAAATGTCAAACAAATTTTCAACGTCCCAATTCGATGTCTTAGACAAATTTTGTGCTGTTTTGTAGCCCATTAAATTTTTGTATAGTAAGTTTCAAGTCTCTAAAAATTAGCGGAGATTTTTGAGACTTTTTTTGTGAATTGTAAGAAAATGCGAAACACCACTGACAAAAAACCAAATCTCAAAAATCAACGGAAAATTTGATGGGCTACAAAAGAAATCGAATTGAAAAGTTGAAAAATTTTCTGAAATTTTTTTAGTGTTTCTTGAATTTTTCTGAGTTCTATAAGAAATTGAAAAAATTGAAAAAAATCCTCAAAACGTCAGGGTATTCATATTTTTGACGCTGACTGTATGCGCATACACTAGGGTACATCACAAAAAAAAAAATGTGGCGGATGCTCCACCGAAATTATAAAATTTTAGAATACCTCTAAAAATCTCACGCCGCAAAAGTATAGGCACAGAGAAATTTGCACAATGTATGTTAAGTTTTTTTATTTTAATTTATTATCGCAAATTGTTTATAAAAATACAGTTCATACATACTACCGCAGAAAACATAAGAACAAAATTTCGAAACTGCGTATAATTTATGAAAAAAAAAAGTTCAACCATACTTTCCATGGATGTGCAAAAATTTAAAGAAAATTTATGGAATTTTTTAGAATTTTGCACCAAGCTTAGAAATTATATTTCTATGTTTTTTGTTGTAATATGAACTCTATTAAAAAAAAAAATTAGCGAACATAAATTAAAATAAAAAAGCGCATACATGTACATATGTACATTGTGAAAAATTCACTGTGCCTAGACTCTTGTGGTGACTGTATAAGAATACCAAATTTTTCTGTGAAGACCAAGAAATTAATTTAAATAGGCACCTACACAGATTACATTTTTGAGGCAACACCCTAACTTTACAAATCATAAACGAAGTGAAAGGATAGTAAGAACATAAATATGTATGCCAGTATGTAAAAAACGTACTAAAAGAAAATTAAAATTACATAGAAATTTTATAATTGAAAAAAAAATTCACTTAAACGGAGCGCCAACTAGACTTAAAATTAAATCGTTGTCCTGGCTATATGACGCAACGCATCCTTGTTAGCCTATTAATTTATCTAAACTTTTTATACTTTCAAATAGTTATAGTATCTAATTTGAGAGTCCACATGCAAAATTACGCTTCGCTTAGCAGGCTTTATTGGCAACTTTTATTATACACATAAGTACATACATAGGTACTAGTCGTCTCCACCACTCCCTCCAACGTTTCCACTCATTGCAACATTTCATACTTGAATGCCCAACGGCTTAAATGCCGCTGTTGACTTCTGCTAGTGCCACCACTGCCGCTGCTACAACTGCCGCTGCCGCTGCCGCTGCCGCTGCCGCTGCCTCTGCTGGCAAATAGTCGCCGTTATAGTTGCGCACGTCGACGATCTCAAATGATACTCTCATCATTGTTGCGCATTAGGCGTATAGTTGTTGTTGTATTGCCGCTACTACCACTAGCGCCACTACTACCACTTGCGCCAGCACTCCCACCGCTACCACTACGATTTCGACCACCACCACCACTACTGCCGCTTGTCAAAGTTGTCACAACAATGCTCTCATCATCATATAAATCAATATCCTCATCTTCATCATCATCATATTCCGAATTTGATGTGGAGAGTAAAGCGGTGGTCACTTGGTTGCGCATACCGCCACCAAGACCACCACCACCACCACCACCACCGCCGATTAGACCACTACTGCCACCAACAACACCACTGCTGCCACCACCCATGCGTCGAATTTGTGCACGTGGCGTTAATTTGGGTAGGAGTGGTTCACGTCCAGTGCCATTGCTACTGCCGCTTGTAGTACGTTCGCGCGTCGTCAAAACGGCGCTGTCCCAATCATCGCCGGTTGGCTCGCACAGGGACTTGGAATGACCGTGCTGATAAGTCTCCTCGGGGATAATGTCTCTGTGGTTGGGTTTGAGTAGATGAAATAATGTGTCGATTGAATTTTGTGGCAACGCGAATTTTGAGTGCAATTGAAAGAAAGATTTTAATAGAATTTTTTACATATTTTATTTTTGAGATCGAATTATTTATGTATGTATGTATGTATGTATGTATGTAAGTGAGTGTAGTTGGTAAAGAAAAGTTTTTCATTAAAAAAAAAATATTGTATGTCGTAGAATGGAAATTGTGATCAGCAAAAGTACCCAATGCATGCGCAAAAAAAAAAATTTAAGCTTCTTGAGAGTTTTTGTTTAAAGTCCAGCTTAGATTTCACAATAAGCAAAGCGACGATAGCACAAGTGAAAATAAAGCGAAATTCTTAAAATATATAATGGCAATATGTACAATAATGATTAAAAAGCAGTTTATACAAATATTTTCCAAATGTATAAATTTATTCAAACAAATCGAAAAATCAGCAAAAAAAAGCGGTGTTCTCGTAAGCATAAGTGAAAGCAGTAAAAATGTGAAATACATATTCATATACATATACATATGTATGTATATGTATTCAAAAATATTTAAAATACAATGTACGTATACACATATATAGATACATACATGATTTTGATATTTTATAGCATCAGACTAAAAGATAGTATATAATTTGTGTAGGCATGTTAGGGTGCTCCGTGTAATATAAACATCAAAATTTTGCATGGCACAGCGCTTTGCCTAGTTCTACGTACAAAATAAAGACTTCCATGAAAATTTCAAAATTTTAAAATTAATAATTTAAAAATTTTAAGCTTTAAACATATTAAAAGCAGAAAAATTTTACATATTTTGCTATAAAAAAAAATAAAAAAAACGCGAGTTGAGGTCATTTATAAAACACTTAAACATATTACAGTCTTCATATAGCATTCGTTTGAATAGTTTTCAATAATAGTTAATTTATCAGATTTAAATTTTTGATAACTCGGTAGCAACCCCTAAAAATTTTTTAAAAATGTTGAAATTTTTTGTGGAAGTCATTATTTTGCGCATAAAAGACAATTACGCGGTGTCCCATACAAGATTTAGATTTTCATATTTTTTTAAGGACCACCCTAATGTATGTGTGCAAAGACATTTGAGCGCAAGAGAAGAACAAATAAGCATAAAAACCTAAAATGAAGTTTAAAAGTAGTTTTCAAAAGCAATAAATTTAAAGTTACACTAATTAAATTGTATAAATTGATAAATAAAAAATATTCACAATCATAATTATTCGATTAATAATTTTTTTTTTGTAATTTACATAAATATATATATTTTTTTCAATACATTATTATGAATTTATTAGTTATTAATAAATAATTTTTCATTATAAATTAAGTTTATAAAATATTTTCGCAGTTGGGAAAATAAATGTTTTAATGCAGGTATGTCAGTTTNGTTAGAATAGACTGACTGACATTTAACAAACGAATTGCTTACGAGCTATGCGTACAAGAGAACAAGAAGGAAAAAGTAACGAAGAGATGGAAAGAATAAACTAGTGATGGAGAGTGTTGCCACATTTCATATATTTCCAACAGTTTGTATAATAAATTTAACTATATATTTATGTATCCAAGTATGTTTTTACGTATGTTTGTTTTTTTATACAAAAAAAGTTAGATTTTAGTTTATTTTATTATGGAATTAATTAGGTTTAGGTTCGGTTAGTGGTTCCGTTAATTAGTAGAACAAGGGGGTTACTTTAGTTCAAAACCTAAACCGAACCACTTTTTATTAAGGTATAAGTAATGTTAGTTTAGAGCAATTTTAATAGACAAATTTCCAAAACTTTTTTCTTCTTTTCTTTTGTTAACAGACTATTTTTTTTTTGATGTTTTTATATTTTTTTCGATTGTTACTGAATAAAAATAACATATATATACATAGTGTTTTTTAACCCTGGTTCAAAGACATAATAAAGCTGCTTTGGCGAACCAATGCAAAGGTTCAAAAACGATTCGAATCGCTGAACCGAAAAATATATCCGCGATTTCTGAGACTTCACTTGAGGACATTTTGTAAATTCGCGTTAGCCGTGTAGCCGCAGTGGCCGAATAGAAATACTTGAGAACTTCATAGATTTCTCATGTTTTGGTTTTTAGGATTTTTTGCGATGTTTTTGGGAATTGTTTTGTATTTCATCGGCTCTCTTCGGGGTGTTTTTTTGGTTAGGGTCTTACAAATTTCTTTTGTAATATTTATCTCTTTTTTTTTGGATTTACCTTAAGCTTGTAGAGTTTTTGGACCTTTTTGGGATTTTTTTTTTTAACTTTTTTTGGGAGCTTCGTTTTTTGTAATTTTTTCTGATTTTTTCTAGACTTTCCGATGCTTTTTCTGAATTTTCCGGATTCTTCGGCATATTTTAGAATAAGCAGGTTTTAGATCCAATAATGGTCCTTAATTATAAATTCTCTTTTTTTTTTGAATGGACAATTATCCCTTTTTTATCTTTTCAGACAGATGTCGTGTGTTTTTTAATCGAATACCTAGTTGCTACAGCTAGGGTTAATACTTTTCATTTAAAAGATTTCGTCTTTTGGACTAACTGGAATGTAACTACTTTGCTAAATTTAATTTAATTTAAAGTTAAAGGTATGTAGAAGTATAGTAAAATTAAATAGCGCTTCACATAAACAACTTATGAAAATTATAGATTAGTAATTTAGTATTTCCTAAAGCTTCCCTTCGGCAGCAGTATTTACTACTAAATATAAAATATGTATGTAATGCGATGAATTAAAATACTTGCGCTTATAACTTACTTCTCTTAACTTAAATTGGAGGAACTTTAAATTTTCATAGCCTGTTCTATGTGTAACTACATACATAGTATGTAAGTGTTTACATGTGCATACTTATGTACGTTAGGGTGCATCACCAGAAAAAGTTACGGGTTTTTTCAACGGATTTATAAAATTTGTTATAATTTAAAAATATTAAGAGCTGGACCGATTTGAAAATACCTGAAAAAATCCCAATATTTTTTAATTTTTTTTAAAACTAATGTTATTTATAAAAAACTAAATTGTTGGAGGTATTTTCAAATAGGTGAAGCTCACGCAAATATAATTATTATTATTTTCCCGAAATATTTTGGCGGCATTCTTAAGATATAATAAATTTTATATTTCCGTTGGAAAAAATAGTACCGATTTTATTTATTTTTTTTTTTTTTTATGGACATGCACCCTAGCGTACATGTATATATGTATTTACATATATGGTCGTGTTTTTTTATATATACGAGTACCTATAAATATGTATGTATGTATGATGCATGTGTGTTGCTGTTTCCATGTTTTGTTACTTTTATGTTGTAATTTTACGCTGCAAATCCTTCCGCAAATTTTATCCTATTGTACCTACATACATACATAAGTATGTATGTAAGCATGCCGAGTTGCAATGAAGTGTTCTTTGGTGCAGTATTTCTTGCTATACATTTTACCTTTGTATATGTAGCTTTTTTTTTTAACAAATATGTAAATCTATTTACATATCGTGATATTAATATAGAAAGGTCCTATCTCACATCGTCGCTGAAATGCAAAAAAACTGTAACTAACTAATTTTTTTGATTGCATAAAACAATGTGGGGACCTATAATTCGATGAAATGCATCATAATTAATCAAAAATTGAATTGTAAATATTTAGTTAGTTGCGGATTTTTGTATGTCAGCGACGATGTGAGATAGGGCCGTTCTCTATTAAGGTATAATATTTGAGTGTCCTGATCTCAAAATGTATATATACATTATTTTTCCTATATGTATGTATTGCCAAAAATATATGCACTTTTTTCGAATATGAGCTGTTTGTTAGACACGTTGGTATTGAAGAGTTATTCTGTAAAAAATGTGTGTTTATAAATATCAGGACGGTTAGCCGCAATTAAGATATATGTCAGAATATTTTATCTAATTTTCGTACTTTTCAATCTACTTTTTTATTAGTAGTCAGAAGTTTTAGAGGTTATATTAGTTTGTTGGTTCGAAAATAATTTTAATTGCATAAATTTTTTCAACAAAACTAGAGCAATCACAACTAGTTAAATACAATTGTTATTAGTTATTTTGTAATTAAATTATAACTCCAACTTTATTTATATTTATGCATTTAAACTTATTGGTTCCATGATAAATAAGTGTAAGGCTACTAATACGTGGGAAATCAGCGAGTGTCACCTTACCAAGGCATTTTCACTTGCCGTACCCTGTTGAATAAACAACGAGAGTTCTTAGGCCCGCCCCTACAAGGTTAGGCGGTCGTTCAGAGTATCATTGAAAGGAAGTTCAAAATCTCATGGATACCTTCAATGAAAATTACTATACAATAAGAAGCTAAGATGGGCTAAAAATTTGTAACTGCTCGGGGAAACCGTGAAATTAATAAGCGAACCCGTTGACAGCAAGTGGGTCAATCGTCCATGGATAAATTTCACTTGACTTATCTGCACTTTCATGACTTAAGAGGAGAGAAAGGTTATTTTCAAAAGGCAATATGAGTTGTGTTCACAGCTATGTATACATATTAAATTCATAAGAAAAAAAAAACTACTTATTCATAATGTGAATGTTATTATTAAGGCTGGAGTCCACATTTTTGACTATTCGAATAATCTGGATATTCGAATATCTGAATAAAAAATAACCGGGTATCCGAATAGGGTCTTGATATTCAGATATCCGAATCTAAAAATTGACAATCAAATAACGATGGCTTGTGTAGTATTAATGAAGTGTTCTATTATTATTTTTGCAGCTCGATAGATTCAGTAATTTTGAGAAAAATATTACGTATCCACTCAAATATTATTTAGAATATCCGGATATCTATATAACAAGATAAACGGATATTAACCGGATGTCTGAATATTCGGATAACAAACTGTACGGATATTAATAGGATATCCTGATTCTATCAGTATACGAGATAAAAATATCAATGGATAACTGGAAATTCGAGTATACAGTTAGTCCCAGCCCTAGCATTTACACGATTGCATATATATATAAATGAGCTTAAAATCATTTGAGATTTTTTTTTTAAATATTCATATAATATATATTAAATTAAATAATTTAAATAGCCTCCCTTAAACGTAAATATTTATGTATAACTACTACATTTTTAAAAGCAAACATGCATTAAATATAGCGATATGCGATTAATCGATTAAATAATTTGTTAATCATTCATAATACTGATTAATCAAAACACGTGATTAATCAGATGCTGACTAATCAGATCCGAAGTAATTACTATTTAATCATAAAAAATTAATTGAAATCTGGTTAGCTTTGCTCATATCTTTTGAGTTTGCCTTCAAAGCAAAAACATTTTTTTGTATAATGTAATATAATATTTTTCTTATTAACAAAGATAGAATGTCAAACGGGCACCTCACTACATTGATCATCAAAATGAAAAATATACATATATGTACATATGCATGCATGCGTATAATTTTTATTTCTATATAAAAAAATGAAATTATTAAAGTTTCTGATTGATCAGGTTACGAATAATCAGTTTTCTGATAAATAAAATTAATTAGATTTTGATTGAAAAAAATCCAATTAGTCAAAAATTATTATTCTTTGATTAATTAATTAATCAGGTTTCGATTAATCAGCTTGTTCGATTAATTGATTAATCGCACATCCCTAATTAAAGAGCTTTTATGAATTCAGTTATAAATATTATTTTCCTTTTACTACAATCAACTTAAGGGTACGTCCACATAGGAAGCGAATACGAAGTGTTCATACAGCAAGCGTTTTCAGAAGCGTTTTGTAGCTGAAAGTAAAGCTTTTTTGGATTTTCAATTTTATTTTTGTTTGTTTTTTTAGCTTCATGGCTCTGTTGCGAACAAAAAAATTAAAGTAATTAAATGAAAATCTATTTTTCGGGAAAGCAATTAAAACAAATTGAACAAATATTTTAACCGCTTTTCATTTGAGGTCAGTTTTGTGTTATCTTTTCGTCGGAGTACATGCAAAAAGCTCGTCTTCGCTTCGTTCAGTGTGAACACCAGCAGCTTCGATTCTCTCCGCTCAGCGCTCTGTATGTACGTACCCTTAGAATTTGATTACAATGAAGGTAACAGAGCTTGCCTTTAAAAATTTTTAAGTGCGTATTTGATGAATTTCGATGCAAAAAAGTAAGATACGTATTTAAAAAGCTTTAAACGTTAAGATTTTAAAAGTCGATTTTACACTGCCTCTGACAATGAAATAATACTGTTAAAATTGTTGGCATGCGTTAAACGATTTGAAAAAAAGTTTAAAAAATATATAATAAGTACATAAGTAGTTAAGCTATTAGAATTAAAATTTATAAATTGTTAACATATTCGTATTAATTGAAATAAACTGTTAAATACCTGCACATGTGTGTATACAAATAATTTACAAAGCCGCTTGTGAATTATTTAATTGATTTGCATACATAAATTATGTACAGCTCCGCGCTCTTTTTGTAATTTTTTTTAATAAAATACTTTACATCATTAATTTGTATGTTTACATATATTCTAAAAATATACATTTAGCTTAGGTAATGACTAAAAACTTTGCAGTTTACTTTACCACCAATGTATTTATACAGATGTTTATATATACATATGTATTAGGGTGGTCCTTAAAAGTATCAACATCTACATTTTGTTGTAAGGTCACGCATTTATTTTGTTCTACGTAGAAGCTAAAGATAAACACGAAAATTTCAAAATTAAAAAAAGTTTTAGGGGTCCCTACTAGGGTTTAAAAAAAAAATTAATTTAGTTTTGAAAATCGCAAAAATTTAACATCAATGTTGACTTTGACTAGCTATAGCCCAGCGAGTTTATGAATTTATGTGTGAATAAGTTTCAAAATAAAGGCAATTTAACAGATTTCATGTTGTGGTTTTGTGAAACTTTTGCATGTAAGAAAGTTAAAATTTTATCAAAGCCCTGTAGCGACGCTTAAATGTTTTTTTTTTTTTTAGTCTTAAGTACAAAATTTAGATTTTGATATTTTTAAGGCCCGCCCTAATATGTATGCAATTTGTATGTATAAATATGTGTTACTCAAGCTTTTATCTAAAACACAAATGCTGGCGATCTTAACAGTTACGACCGGAAGTTAAAGAAACTTCTTATTGCTTTCTCATTATATAAATTTTTAAGGTACATAAATACTACTATACATATGTATGTACACAAATATATTGTAAATTTTACTCAAGCGCATGTTAGCAACCAGTTAGCAGCTACATACTATCACTATTGTCAAATGTTGTTGTTGTTGAATTAGGTGTGGTAGCATTTGAAGAGGTTGTTGTTGTAGCAAAATAGGTAGCTGTTGTTGGAGTAGTAGTAACATTATCCTTTGTGGAGGAAGAGTTATTAGTAGCAGTAGTAGTAGCAGTTGTTATAGTTGTAAATGTAGTGGTTGTAGTTTTTGTTGTTGTTGTTGTTGTTGTTGTTGTTGTTGTTGTGGTAGCAGTAGCGTTATCGATACTTTTATTAACTAAACTGGAAATAGTACAATTACTTATTGGTGTAGTCGCTGTGCTAGTCGTATTAATTGTTCCAGTAGTTGGAGTTGTATTCGTTATAGTGGAATTAGTAGTAGTAGTAGTAGTAGTAGTAGTAGTAGGAGTACTAATAGTAGTTTTATTAGTTGGTGTTGTTGCAGTAGTATTACTATTACTAGTATTAGTTGTGGTAGGATATGCAGTTGCTATGTCTTTGAATGTTGAATTAAATTGAAAAACTTTACTGGGTCTGCGTCCAGTCACAATAAGTCTGCAAATACAATACAATACATACCAAACAACACACACACAAAAGTACTGTTATTTATTGCAATACCTACGTATGCTTTTGTATTAAATACTAAGTTGGGTTATTGAAAACAATGTGAAAATTCAAAGTTTATTATTTTGGTTATTTTTTTCGCAAAGAGAAATTAATTGCCACCAAGTCTTTTTGTGGAGTGAATGCAAAAATGTATGCAGAAATTATTTATGTATATAAATATGTATGTATGCGCGGTGGTTGCGGTGTATATGTGGCACATGTGCAGGTTCAAAGATGTAAACTAAGCGTGTATTGTAATTAAAAAAAAAAGTCTCTTTAATAAGTGAAAACACTTGTAAGTCACTAACGTAAACGGTAAGTTGAATATTTATGTCCAATATATGTATAAATATCACGCAAAATATCAATACAAATAAATTGAACAAAAATGCAGAATTGAAAAGTTAAAATTGGGGTGGAACACACATTAGAACACATTTTTACGAATACCAAATAAAAATGATTAAGTACGTATTTATACATCGATACTTATGTACATATGCCTATGAATAGGTACTTAATATTACTGAAAGTCGATATGGCAAATTTGATGCACAGTTCAACAGTTCTCCTCTAAACAAAAGAAGTGCATCAAAATTGCCAAAGCGAAAAATGCTAACATACTCCCTCTGGTAAATAACCGATTTTAATAAAATAATGTAAAAAGGCAACCCCTCCGTTCGGCCAAAAAAACAAAAAAATGTTGTTTGTGGATCCCACGCGCGATTGCAGTGAAACTTTTTCCTATTATCACCCGTATAGCTCACTATATTTTTCTGCATCGGAATCTCAATGTCAATTTGAACCTTTATTCTAATCTTAAACTTATTTTTTACTCTAATCTTAATTTTAATTTTAATCTTAATTTTACTCTTATACTTAACCTTAATTTTAATGCTATTCTTAATTTTTTATTTTAATTTAAATCTATCTTTTTTTATTTAATCCTAATATTAATCTTAATCTTATTATTAATTTTAATCTTAATTTTAATCTCTACCGTAATATTAATTTTAATCTTAATCTAAATTAAAATCTTAATCTTAACTTTTATTGTAAGCTTAACTTATACTTCTTTCTTTGTTAATTATAATTTTAATTTTAATCTCAATCTTAATCTTTATTTTAAAAAATAATCCCAATCTTGATCTTAATATTAATCTTAGTCGTAACATTTATCTTAATTAAATCTTAATCTTAATCTTAAGTTTCATCTTAATCTTAATACTAATCTTATCATAATTTATCATAATTTTGTTATAATTTTAATCTTAATCTTAATTTTAATCTAAGCCTTAATTTTAATATTAATCTTAGTTTTACTGGAGTTTGGAATCATAGCTCAGAGATCGTGTTCTCTTTTTCGTTACTTTGATGTTTGCATTTACACCGAACCGAACGCAAAGAAGTTTCGCTAAAAATATTTTTTTTTTCTAAATTGTTTTGCGGGGTAGTTTAGCATCGAGCGGCGTTATTGAGCTGACGTCCGCAGACTCGCTTATAAAAAAATGTGTGACTCAGTAACTGTGATCGAAAAAAGAAACTCGCCTTTAACCCTTAAAAGTAATAAAAAAAACGTAACAACAAAAATGTTTGATTGAAAATGAATTTACAAATTGACAAGAGGATGGAAAATGATAGAAAAAATACACTGTGGAACAAAAATGAACTTTGGAAAAAGCCTATAGTGCACATATACTAGGTTTCAGAGCCTCTTTAATCTTTCATATTTAAGCCGTCTTACTTCAATCCTACGGTTTAATTTAGGAAAGTATGAAATTTGCGTTTAAATATTACATATAGGAATATATAGAAATATGTACATATGTATATACATACATACATAGTAAGATAAAATATATGTATTTAACTATGTAAGTATGTATTTAAATTTCTAGTTAAATCATTAAGTGATATACAACTTGTCGGTTGATTTAATGGATATCTACATAAACATTTATCTAAAGTTTATTTTTTTACTAACGTTAACCCAACAAACCAAATATACAAGTATTTACATATATGTGAATTAGACGAGCAAATAGATGTATTTACTAAACAACAATAAGTATGCAGCTTAAATCATGTTATTAGTAGTTTATGAAACAAAAATCAAAATTTTTTATTGCGTGTTAAAAGTGTTGACAAATGTGGCAAATCTAAGTAAACAAGAAAACACTAATGTCGATTCAGTTACTGCGTACTTACCCACTTAACTCCAACATTGAGCCGCGGCGTACATTGCGTCGATGGCTGGCCGTAACCGGGAAGGGGCCAGCATGAGCCATGTCACCAATATTTACGCCGATGCTGTTGTTGCCGCCTGATGAGGCAACTGAAATCGATTGCGAACGCTTATCAAGGCGGGGATTTGAATGTGGCGGCTGTATCAATGGCATCATTGGCAAACCACTAATCAAAGCGTTCGCCAGTGTGGGATCAGAGCCACGTGCTGAACCAAGACTGTCTAAGGGATCAAATAGGCTGCTGCCACCCTTCGAACCGCAACTCTCACGCCGGAATAAACCTATGACAGACTTGGGCTGTTTAGGTTTATTGATACCACCTTTTTTTTTTAGTGTTAAATTGTAGTAGGTTTGGTTGTTGTTGTTGTTGATGATAGGTGCAAGCGAATTGATTTTTTGTTGTTTTTTTTTTTAATTTACATGATATTTCGAAAGTTACCAGATGTGGATGTTTGAGTGTTAAGTAATTTTTTGGTTTTATTTATTTGTTTATTTTTATTTATTATTTTATTTTAGTTTTGTTAAGGTGTTAAGTTGCAAAACAGAACAAGTCAAAGGTTGACAGTTGCATTGTTTTTTTTTTGTTTTTTTTTTATTTGCACAAACACATTCAACGCAGTTACGTGTGGAAGAGAAGAAACATAGAGGAAATTGGAAAAAAAGGAAAAAAGGAAGAAAAAAATCAAACACAATTTTAGCAGGTGTAGGTGTTTCGTACAAATTTTGACTATTCGTGCTATATAGAACTAATCATAAACTAAATAATTTAAAACTACAATTTAGCGATCATCGTGTATATGTATGTACGAATGCTTGAAAGTACGAGGTGGACATAAATTTTAGTACATAAGAAAAGTGGACATAACTTTTTGGCTATTTAAAAGCTGAACATTAATTTTTTGTCCCTAAAAACTGGACATAAGTTTTTAGTTATTTTATAAATTGGTACATTAAAAGCTGGACAGACTTTTTTTGCATATTTAAAAACTAGACAACATTTTTTTCTATAAGAAACTGGACATAAACTTCCGATCATATAACAGCTCAACCAAAATTTTTCAACAAAAAAACTAAATATATATACACTTTTGGTCGTTACCAACTGGGCATACATTTTGGTAATTTAAAAACCGAGAAGGAGTTTTTTCACTCACTTAAAAGTGGACATACATTTTTGGTCAATAAAACTGTTGACTTGCTAAAAGCTGGAATCTAAGAGAGTATGTCCAGTTTTTGAGTTATCAAAATTTATGATGAGTTGATATGTAAATGACCAAAAACTTAAGTTAAGATTTTATGGATAACAATTTATGTTCAATAGTTAAATGAGCAAAAGCCAAGTTTTTTTTTATGGACAAAAACTTATGTCCAACTTCTTATGTACAAAAAATTATGTAAAGTTTTTACTTTCAAGCGATCATAAGTTTATAAAAATTTTCCAATATTTTATAAAGCTATCAAATTAAGGGTAAGGGGTTTAGTTAGGGTGTTAGTTTACATAGCAAATAAAATGTGCAAACAAAAAATATACAACTAAAAATGGCTTAACAACGGTAATACGTACATTGGTGGGCGTCAAAAAAAGATCCTCCTCAGAGAAAAAAGCACTTTCAATATTTTCTGGTCTGTCTAACGGACATATATATATATATATCACACTGTAGTATCCCCTGCCTAGTTTTTCTGAGGTTTTAAGTTTACGGGGCAATTCTGGCTAATAAAGTTGAAAGTCGTTTGCCAATTTTCATGGTGAATAGCTCTTTTGGAAGAGAGCATGTTCCTAATGGAGATGTACAGCCGCAATGGCCGAGTGTGCATTGGCGTGCCATTCGAGAGATTTGATTATGAAATCCTTGAGCAGCGATTTTTTAAATATACTTTTTTTAACTTAACTTTCTTTTAATTTTATTTATTTTTTTAATTAAAAAATATATATTTTTTTCATTTCATTAAATTTTTATAAATTTATTTTATGTATTTTCTCCTCTGTTAATTTCTATTTTCCTTTTGAATGTCATTAATTAATAACCTTTTAATATTTAGGGCCGTTTTCTGAAGAAAGCTTTAACTTTAAAGCTCACTTTATATTTAAAGGTTGGATTAAAAATAAAGTTATGTCTAGAGTCTATTATCGAGTTTGACGTATGTGTGCTTCTTGGCTGTAAACCAATTTAAGATCGATAATAAAATGCTTTACTTTAGACACAATCAAAAATTTTAATGCAACCTTTAAATACAGAGGGAGCTTTAAAGTTACAGGTTACTTGAGAAAAGGGCCCTTAGATTTTAATATTTTAAAAAGAATTTTTTTTTGTAATTTAGTTTAATTTTTCGATTCTATTGTTTAAAAACAAAAAATACTTTTAAGATTTCATTTAATTTGAAATTATTATTTTTTCGTTTGCACGTTTTTAGTTTTCTAATTTAATCTAATTTTTAGATACTTAGATATTTTGTGTATTTTTTTCTTGTTTGTTAGTTTTTTCTTTTTAAATACAATTATTATTTTTTTATTTTTAAGTTTTTGCGTTTTAAAAAGAAAGGTTTTTTTAATTACATCTAATTATTAGAAACTTATTTAATTTTTTTCTTTTTTTCATTCCTTTTTTGTTTCGTTTTCGAATTTAATTCTCTTTAAATATTTAGATGTTTTGTGTTAAAAAGAGAAATATCTTTTTATTTCGTTGAACTTTTATTATTTATTATTTTTTTTAAATTCATATATTTTTTCTTTTTAAGTAAAGTTTTGTTTTAATTTTCATATTTTACTGTTTTAAAGAGGAAAGTATATTTTTTTTATTTAATTTAATTTTTAGAAACTTATTTATTTTGTTTCTTTTTTCTTTTCTTTTTTGTTTCTTTTTCTAATTTAATTTTTTTAAGGAAATATTTTTCTTTAATTTCATTTAATTTTTAGGAACTTATTAATTTTTTTAAATCAATGCTTTTAAATTAAGGAATTTTTTATTTTTTAAATTAAATTTTCTTTTAATTTTTAGATTTTATGGTTTTAAAAAGTTTTTTTTTTTTAATTTCATTTAATTTTTAGAAAATTCATCATAAAACACAAACAGAATAACGCTAAGACCTCCTCGTTAGTAAATCATTCAATAAGTCTATCGAAAGACAAAAGAAGCTTCCAAGAAAGTTGCAAGAATTGCCTTGTTAATCCGAAATTTTATTGACGATTGACAACCACCGATATGGTTCATCGTTCCTAGTCGCTCTGCAAGAGAAGAGTGTGGAATGACGAACGATGTCAAAAGCCTTGATAAGTCCAATGATACTAAGGCAATTCTTTCACAGGGACAGTTACTATTAAAATGCCGAGTTATCTGAGTATTTATGGCGTTAAGTGCTGTCGTGACACTGTACACTTTACGGATACCATGCTGATGCTTCGCAGGGGTCAGGTGGTACTTGAAGTACGAGAGTAGCAAGGCCTTAGACCGCAATATAGAGGTTTTCGGTTTATTTCTGGGATTTAATGATGCAGGACTTAAAAACTTAACGGACTTAAATGCCGCCAAATATATACTAAGCAGATAATTGAACAATTTAATATTAGCTCGGGTAATTCAAGCATATAAATACATATTGATTTTACTACAATTGCATATTTAAATAATCGTTTATATAATTTTTATCATTGTCCAAATATATACATCATTTTAGATATCAAGCACCCTAGGACTTAACTTAAACAACTATCCAAAATCATGCCAGCTAAGCGTACAACTTTTTTCTATGTGCACATACTTTTTCCACATACATAAATTTCATATAATTTTTAAGTAATATTCTAAAGTATGCTAAATTGATTGCACATTTTAAAAATCTTACCTAAAAATGTGGCACTGGGTGAGTTGTATGCCAGATACTCCTTATTTGAAGCCCAGGCGGGAAACTCGTTTTGTTGCACAGCATCTGACAACTCATCACCCTGTCGCTTCCAGGGTAGCTGCGACTCGGTGGCGGTGGGTGTTGCCACACGGCGTTCACCATCTGAATCACGTGAGATATTGTGATCTTCCTCAGGTATGGGATTTTCAGCAACTAATTTAAAGAGGTATTGTAAAATGTAATTAAAATTAAAAAAGTTACTCCATGAACTCTGTGTTTTTTTCTGACTAAGGTGGCTAAGCATATACAAGTACAGATATTTGTTAAATTAGGTAAGCTTATTGAATTAAGGCGGCGGAAGGCTGTGCGCATGCAAGATGGGCGACAAGAGACCNTTTTTTTTTTTTTTTTTTTTTTTTTTTTTTTTTTTTTTTGTGAAAATGTTGAGTAGTAAATTGTAGTTGTGGATCTCTTGTAACCCATCAATAAAATGTTAGTGTGTAGTTGCATGTAGTTAACTTTGACATTATTGCAAAGCAAAGTAAAACGTTTGGGAATATTTTGTAAATAAATAAATTTCAAAACCCAAAAACATAAGTTTAAAATAGCTTAAAAACATAGCCATGCACAAAAATGCCATGCTCGCAATAATCGATGTGTTTCGTATTTTATTGGTTAAAACCGATTGGGCTCTATTCGGGTGTATGTATGCAAATGCAATTTGTAAATGAAATTTTCTTTCACTGCAAAAAAAAACTCGTAATAAGTCACAAAATTTTGGTGTATGCTTGAGACTTTTTGGATTTATAAATATTTAAATAATGCATTTCATACAATTTGGCAACACTGATTTATGTTTTTCTTCTAATGCAATTATTCATGTATCTAAACTGGAATGCACGACTATTTATGCGTAGTATGGCAACAATGAAGGTTAGGTGGAGGAATGGGGTTGTAAAATGCGGTACCAAAAAAAAAACAAAATGCTTTCTACAGTCTAAGTCAATAATGACTTATGGTTTTATATCTCAAAGATTTTAGTCTTCATCGTTCGTCTCGAATTCGGATAGATCAACTTTTTTTTATCTAAATTATTTAAAAAAAAAGCCTGGACATTTTTACAGAATTTTTATTGACTCAAAACAAAAGACTTAAGCAACAAACCTGCAGACGAAACTACATGCATTTGCACTATATATGGCATGGCATTGATTATCAAAGAAGCCTTCGATTTAAAACACACAAAAATGCACTAACCATCCAGCTGGATGCTTTAATATGGATGGCAGTTAAAATGATGGACCTAACAAAGTGCATACGCACATACATAGTGAGGCCGCTAAATGCCTACTAATTTTATGAAAAAAAAGAATACAATTGGGAAAATGGGCTTATTGGTGTGAGAAGTTATGAATAAAGTGTAATCTAAGGCACTAAATGTGAGTAAATTTTAAATAATTATTCAAGCGATATATGAATTGGCTCGTATGAAAGCACTACTTTAAAGACCCATTGATTTTCACAGAATAACTATTCTAAAATAGCCGCTAGTTATTATTAAAATATGATATTTTTTTTCATGCCCAATGGCAAAAATTTAAAACATTAAAGTGGATATGCTGAAGTTCTATAAATTAGCTGTATACCAGGGGAAAGCAATTTTGATACATATGTTTAGAAATGCATACAAATTCTTAAGTCGAGTTTCCACTTGCATTTAAATGACGAAACATTTTATATCACTAAAAAATGGCATGTGGAAAGAGTTTTATGAATTTCGTTTTTAATTTGTCATTCAAGTTTTTCCTCATTTAATACACAGTGGAGATAAGGCATTAGTAACTAAACGATACTGTCATAAATTAAATAGGAGGTTTAGCCAATTATTGCAAATTGTTTGACTTTAGAAAGTGTACCTTTTTCTTTTTGGAAATATGTATTTGCCAAACCAAGTCCAATTGACTAATGGTTTTAATCGACCATTCTAGATTTTTTTCGTCAGTACTTTCTTAACATGTAACGAAATTTCTACCAAAGCGAAAGAAATTAATTTTTTTCGAAAGTTCAAGATTTCACAATTTTCCGGATTTTACAAGTTCATATTTTGAATATCTCAGAAACTATTATAGTTACTAAAATGGCTATGGTATCGTTTTAAAGGTGATTCCGAAAATTCCAAAAAATGACAGAACTTCGAAATTAAAAAAAAAAAATCATAAAAGTAATTAATTAATTAAATTAAATAATGAACTTAAAACAACCTGAAATTTCCAAGGGTTTTTATATAAATATATATTAAATTTTTAGCTTACAAAAAATTCCAGACTTTAAGGGCCAATTGCAGATGAAAATTTAAATGGCATTTAAGATTAATTTTGAATTTTTATATAAATACCATTTAACTTTCGTTGGGTTCCAAATCAGCTTTGTTTAAATATGTCAAACAAGTATCAACACTAGGGTGGTTCAAAATAAGCCAATATTGGCAATTTAAGTGCAGTTTAAATAAATGATCTGAAAATAAATTTTTGAAATTAATTAACCACCTCTACTTAAACAGCTCATCTGAAATTGTGCCTAAGCTTCGAGTTTCACCAGCATTTAATTGAAAAATGATTTTTTTCCTTTCTGTCAGTTTTCACAATAAATTAAAAAAAAATGATTTTGCACTTAAATAGCTTCCATAAAACTGGCTATAAATTTAAACAAAATTTAAATTAAATAAAAACTGTTCAACATAACTTTTTTTAGAAGTTGCAAAAGTATATTGCTTTTCGAAATTCAAAAATGTATATAAAGGAATTAAAAAAAACCCCCTTCTTGAAATTTTAAGTAGGAAGCATTGTATAAACAATTTAGCCAAAAATTTTTAAAAGATTCGTTTTAAGATTTTTTTAATTCAAAATTTTGTAACTTTTTAATTTTAAAAATTTTTTTTTTAATTTAAAAATTTTTTTTATTATTTCTTTATAGCCCTAAATATCGCTTTTAAAATGAGACCAGAACTATTTTTGTAACAACATATAATAGTTTTCGAGATATTCATAAAATAAACTTGCAAAATCCCGGAAATTGTGAGATTTAGAATTTTGCATAACTTTTGAAAAAAATTTATTTTTTTCTTCGGCAGGAATTCGTTATATGATAAAAGAAACGTTTTGGGCAATAATCATCCAATTAAAAAAAATTTTTAATTCTAAGCATTTGGTTGATTAGACATTGATTGATCAGCATGTAGTAGTTAAATTAGTTATGAATGTATGTATAGTATGTTTGTTAGCACCGGTGATGAGGAATACTAACCGCTACCGATGAGTATACATTAATGCGTATGCAACTATTGAAATCGTTTTTTTCTAAGTTCGATTTGATGGCATGATTTTCTTTTTTAATTACAGCAAACATGGATTTTCTGTTTAACTAACTATAACTAATTACAGTAAACTCAAATATTTAGATCGCGGAAAACAAAACACAGATTGCTGCTAAATATTTGCGTCTAAAGCGAGAAAGTACGTTAATTGGATGAGCGTGGTATAAATTTACAATAAAATACACAATTAAATGAGATAAATGAACGAAAATTTGGTACTGAACGAATAAATGTTTTAGAAAAAATACAAAGCCAAATAATTGGTTTTAGAACAAGAAATTTTATAGAAAAATAATTTTTTTTTTTTTGAGATTTTTTATTTTTTTTTTTCAAATGCAGCCATCAACGCTAAACGCCTTAGAGCAACAGATTACACCGACGACGAGTGAGTGCAATTAGTTGATACTTAAATACATAGTTTTGGCGCATTTTTCGAAAACATTTTCATTTCTTGGCATTAAATTCGCAATGGCAATGATGCGCGATGATGTAACATCGTGTGTGAAAGCTACTAAATACATATTCTTCTTTGTATTTGTTGTTGCTTGTGGTGGGTTATAATAGTATACAAGTAGCTGTATGTATGTAGGATGTTTGAAAGCCTTTACCAATGCACTGGTAGGAACGATCCCGTCGCCATGGCAATATCGATTCGGCCGCTGTCGGGCCCATATCGGGCGTTAATAATTTCTCAGGGCTGCCGTTTTCACTTTTCGGTGCGGAGTAGTGTTGGACGATGCGCGCCTTTGATGCATCGAAACCGGGTAAATTCTGTATGTGTGCTATAAGGGAGTTATTATTGGCACGATCCGAGTCCGCTGCATGGTTTTGTATTTTTTTGTTAAATTTTTATTTATTTTTTTTATAGTTTTGTGGTGCGTATGTATTTTTAAGTTCCATTGTTGTTGGGCATTTATATTGTTGGTGTATACATACATAGTGTTTTTTTTTTGAGTTCACCAGCAAAGTTTGTTTTTATTATTGCGTGTTTGTGTATGCATGTGTGTGTATATTAGAGATGTTTGTTTGTTGTTTCCAATTAGAGTTTTTATATTTACAATGGGTTTTCGAACATTCCAATTTGTTGAAGAATTTTATTAATTTTTTTTTTGAATAGCGCATGGTAGCAATTAGAACCCGTTTTTTTTATAAATTTTTTTTTAGATACAAATGAAAAATATAGAGAAGTGTTCGTGAAAAAAGAATATTTTTGTTAGCTTTTTAATATATCGTTATTGTTTTTTTTTTTTTTTTTTGAGAACTTAGTGGGAAATTAGAAAATAATACAAAACTGCAATAAATTATATAAAAACAAACCACATCCAGATTTATGCAAAAGCAAGTAGTAAATTTTAAATCTTTTTGTATTAATTATTTTACATAATTCCTGTAAAAAGTTACAACACTTCAAGACGCGACTATCCGAAACTTCATAATACGTAAAGAAATTTCCTTGAAATCCACTCATATAAAAGAAAACAAATATAAGTACCGGGGTGTTTTTCCCGATTTCAAACCTTGAAATAATTGAACCGAGTTTGGTAGAAATGGATAAAACCCTTACCGAGATAAACATATGTATGTAAGTGGGCGGTGCTACGTCCATTTTCCAAAAATCTATAGTAATCTTACTTCTTTTTAATAGATTATCGTAATTATTACCTTGAAGAAAATTAGCGTCGTTCGATATCGAAATAGCGTAGTTTTCGTATATATGAAATTTACCGCTATATATATGTGTGCTTAATTTTAGTCCGACTTCAAAAAGTTTCAATACATCACTTTTCTGCACCAAGGGAAATAACTGTACGGAGTTTTGTAGAAATTAATCGGAGCGGTGCCGCTCCCATTTTCCAAAATTTTTTTGATAATCTCATTTAGCCCCCACCGGACTGGGTGATGGCCAAAAGCCTTATAAACCGGCAATAAGTTCACCGGGCACTGGCATCAGTACACTGCTGCTGAAGCAGGACGTAAGCTCCTACTTCCACCCCACAGGCCCGGGCTGTCTTTATCCCGCAGGCAGGCAAGATAGATTACTCGCTTGCTAATCATTCAGGCCGATAGGTTTCGCCTCCCTTATGCTGAAAGCAATGGAGAAAATTATCGACCAAGACAGAAGGTACCCTGTACTGCCGTACAAAAGCCACATTCTATAAGTCACTCAATATGCCCGTGCTAGTCTGCATAGACAATGAAAATTAAAAAAAAAAAACGAAGGCCTCGTCTGCGGTGGAAACACCAAGTGGAGAATTTAACTTGGATTAACTTGTCATTTTCAATTGGCATCAGCTGGCACATAAGAGAAACGAGTGACTACGGATGGGTTGGTAGAAACGATGCTATGCAATAGTGATAAAACAAGCTATAAATCATATTGAGTGGTTATTGTAAGTCAGTGATTGATCACTTTTTTTCTATATAATAATAATAATAATATTTGATCGAAGGGAGTCAGAGTGTGGACGAAAATAAATAAAAGCGGGTGCAACTAAAAAGCGTACGTTAAGCGATAGCGCATGTAAGGCATGGATTATAGCAATTGAATTGTTTTTTGTGTGCACTGCGACCTAGTGATCTATTAGGGGTATTCTCCAAATCTTGCAAAGCCATTGCACGCAGCACGGATTGCATGGATGGCATAAATTGCAAACACACAACAACAAAATACATGGGAAATAACATTTCCTATCGCTGCAAAATATGCAACGTCGAAACCCATGTATATATTTTGCAGAAATAGCATAGCAAGATAAATGCGACCCTGTGCTAGTTGTTTTGTTGTTGGAATTGCTACATATTTCTCTCACTCCTCTCATCTCGCTCATTTAATTTTTTTTGTGCTGTATCTTGTTATTGTATTTGATACATAATTTCGCTGCTTGCTACCCATACATGCTACCACTTTGCATTGGGGTGCTCTCGTACTCTTCCAAATTTGGAATAGTATTTTTGCATTTCGTGCAATCCGTGCATCATGCAAGACTTCGAGAATACCCCTATTGTATCCTGTACTATTCACAATGCTTCCTCCAGACCCACTTCGATCCCTCAAATGTAACAGTAGTACTTTCGGGGGTAGTTAGTGAATGTGCTCAAGCTGTGGTCACATCGAGCCTAGATTTCTATCACGTTTTCTGTATATGGCGTCACACTCGGTGAGAATATGTAGTGGTATCTCACTGGCAAGTCGTAAAGCAAACAGAGATCATTTGGGTTTGCAATATACAGTAAGGACACCTGTTTGTATTCTAAATGTATCCTTTGGGAGCTTAAATAAGTTTGGAATCTCTTATTGTTGCACCCTCTCAGCAGACTCTTTGCCTGGCACAGTCCTACTGAGCCACGCCAGTTTAGTTACCTTTGTACGCTCCAGGTTACTTTGTTGCAGGAATTTGTTCTAAATCTGATCTCAAAGATTATGATATGTCTATGTCATATCTAGGAAGTAGCGCTAGAGAGAGCGACTACCGTGGTCTTTCCATGTTGCTGGGGATATGGCTTTTTCTTTTCCAAATGGATTGCCATCCTGGTGACAAGCAACTAGAAAGTTTGCCATTACGATTCCACAACTCGTGCAACCTAATGCCATTTGGCGGCTTTAAAGAATTCCATTACGTCATGCAATGGTTTTCCGAGTATCTTTAGCCACATCCATGTGAGGACTGAACACTCGGACAGGAAGTGTTCGACTGTCTCTTTTGAACCCGGGTCCTCGCAACTGCGACAGAATGGATTGAAGGGAAGTATTTCCGCATGCACTCGAACGGGCCGGTGCCCTGTATACACCGAAGAAAATTCGTAGGCATTTTCTTTACTCATTCCTAAGAGAGCTTTGAATTTAAGTGGGTTGTAAGATACCCACAAGTAACGGGTAGTCCTGTAAGATCCTATGCGGTTCTACTTCTGCTTGGTCTTCGAGTGATAGATTTCTTAATATCCATCAGCAAGGCGCTGATGTCCACTGCGTGGGACACATTCAGTGCGGAGCCGCTCCTTGCTAGTTCGTCCGCTGCCTCGTTTCCATTCCTATGTCCCGGGACCCATATTAGGTAATTTCTTATTGATTAGAAGTATAGGCCAACTCTCTTAGTTATCCACTAGCTGAGATCTAACAGAGATAAAGAGAGTGCCCGAATGACCACTTGGCTATCCGAGAAGATATTCACCTGCGTTCTCGCGGGTGCATTCTTTGTGATGTATGGTAGGCGAAAGGATAACTATATATAGGTTATATGGCTCAATGGAAAGCCCTGCACCAACCCCGCATTCCATCTGTGACCCATCCGTGAATGGGCAACGCGAATGGTCTTTCCTTCCAGAACCCCACGTAGTCTGATGGCGCTGTTAGCAGCTGAGTTTTTGATAAATATATCTATGGGTAATAAGTCAAGAAAGACGTTCAAAACATTCTTCGGGCAGGATCACATTGCACCTGTTACGCCAGCGGCTGCTGACCTTTGAATTCCGCTTAGCTTTTTAACTACATAATCCTTAGTATGGGCTGACCACCGGACCAGCCCTCGGTAAGAGATTATGGGTCAGATTATAGCTGTGCACATCCAGTGCACAATTCTAGGTTTCAAATCCCATCTGTTGCCCAACATTCTCTTGGCTGCATAGAGAGCCACTGTGGCCTTCTTTGCACACTCTTCAATGTTTGGTTTCCAGTTAATTTTGGGGTCCAGAATAATTTCAAGTTATTTCACCTTGTTTTACAGATCCAGTTCAGTTCCTTGGAACCTTGGTTTAGTAAAATCAGGGTGTACGCTAAGAGAACAGTTTATGGCCCAGGAATCTACCGTCTTTAGAGTCTTTTCCATAATTTCACCGAAGAAAACTGACCCCATACCAGTACCGCTACATCGTCGGCGTAAGCCACCGCCGTGATTCTCTGACAGTCTAGCTTTACCAGTAGTTTATTCAAGACAATGAGCCATAGGAACGGTGCATATACGGCCCTGCTTTGGTACCCCAATACGGCGTGTATTAATCTGTTCCTTACATTCGGCAAAATGTCAGCCAAATATATTTCCCCCAACACATTATTTGGTAACTATAACCAAATTATGTGTTGAGAACAACATATTCAGGTGAATGACTCTTTTCTCAGTGTAGCAGAGACACTATTTAAGTCCAGACACCGTGATCAACCACTGTACCTATAAGTGCCTCATCAATGGAAACTACACTGACATTATTAAAGACCCCCTCGATCTATCTATAAAGGACGCCAACGTAAATTGTTTATAGCCTGATCTATGGCTATATGAAGAGGCTCAAGTTCGAGCTTGATGAGCGATTGCCTCACCGTGGCTAGGGTAGTTTTTGAAACCCAAGCTACCGCTGCATAAATCACTAATTGTTGTACTGGCAAGCCATTTTAGGATTTTCGTGGCCTTGGAGATAAGCATCCAAATATTTCTCACATAGAAGTTTGATGTCCAGATGTTTAGAATTATGCATGCCTTTTTGAAAAGTTTTTGAAAGTCTAATCATTTACCATTAAAAAAATAAATAGCTCATTTACAATTTGGATATGGTTTGTTTATAACTAAAATTTATAGTGTCAATAATTTGGCAAAACAAATTGCATACTCGTTTAAATTATAAACTTATTTTCATGAATTCCTAATCTTACACAACTACTTATTGCTCAATAAAAATATGCACATAACTACATATGTAGGTATGTAGAAACAACCTCTGTGAAAACCAACAATAACGACGATTATATACTAAAAATTTTGACTGTGTATGCGAAGAATACTTTGTACTAAGGGCCGAAATGATGTAGCGGGTTATAGCGGGAACTTTCACAGAGCTTAATTTATGTAAATACGAACCTAACTGTATTACTTGGTAGGGCAAAAATTTTAACGCAAATAAAAATGGCATTTTTGTGGTTATAAAATAAATACTTAGCAAACAAAAAATACTTAGCAAATTAATATTCAACAAACCAAAGTTGAAAGATTTTGTTATTAATTTTATAGGTGGATTTTTGAATACATAAATTTTTTTTTTTTTTGCATGTATTATTGTTTTCATTCAAAATTAGTAAAATATGTGTTTAGAGCTTTTTTTTAGTAAAAACAAAAGACAAAAACAAACGAAAAAAAGGCAAAATTAAGTGAAAGAGGTAAAACATACTCTTGAACAAAAAAAAAAAAACGCAACAATTGGTCTTGAATTTGGATAAAAGTTCAATACAGTTATAAGTAGTAGAGTATTAGCGCGTAAACTTTAGATTTTAGCTGTAGTATAGAGGGTACATAAATATTTGTGACAAAAAATTTAGACCATCAAATTGCCACATACACACACACATACAACAGCTGCTGACCAAAACTGCCCAGCCAGCACTTACATATATTAATATAAGGCTAATTAGCCTGGATTTTGAGCCTGTGCATGTGTGCGTGTACACTAGCAAATACTTTGAATTACTGATAAAATATACATATGTAGTATGTATTTTACAAAACTATTTTTTTTAAGGTAACAAAAAATTATACCAAACAATTTATATGTATGTATGTTTGTAGTACATTCATTGTGTAAATGTCAGTAATCAAGTACATATGTATGTATGTATGGATGTAAGTATATAGATCAACGTATGAATGACAAGTTTGTACATGTCTACTTACGTGAAGATTTCGCCGTAAATGTTAAGCCATCATCCCAATCATCGCCGCTCACAACTGTCACCTCGTTCAGTTTGGCCAGATTTTCTTCTCCTGATTCATTGAGAACATCATTAATATAATCTTTTTTTTTTGACATGAATTATTATTCATATATGATTTTATGTGGTTTAATGTGTTAATGTGTGTGTTTTTATGCCAAAGGGAATAAGTTAGATAAGAGAAAAAAGAGAATCCGAAAAAATCCGCCAATGTGTGTGTGCAAGCAATAGAAAAGTAAATGCAAGAATAGAAAATTATCGCCAATATGTTGTAGTTGGGTTAAATAATTTAGAAAATAGCCAATTAACTATGCTAATCATGTTTTTGAAATTTTAATAAAAAAATACACAAAATAATAAATTTATTCGGGTAGGGAAAACACTACTGATGATAAGAATCGTATTTAGTCTGTTCGATAAGTTTTACTACAATGACAATTATCTAGCAAGAATAATAAGCGATGATTTTCTCTCAGGTAGAATAATATACAAAACAAGTAAGACAAGTGCTCGAAGTTCTGATCACTTTTGGTATACTTTTTCATGGGCCTATCTCTTCTTCTTTTTGTACTTACAAAAATCGTAGTAAAGTTATTTTTCATATTCATGAAAGGTACATATGTATAAAAATATGCGAACACAAAGTCTATCTGTATCACTTTGCGCTCTCAAATTCCTCTACTTTACAAGTTTTTTGCACACGCGAACTCCGAAGCCTGATAATTTTTTATAATTACATCGAAATAGACTTATTATACAAAATTATATTAATTATTTAACATAGTTAATGGTAAATGCCATCTCAAAATATAATCAATATAGCCTTGAGTTTATAGATTCTTTTGAAAATAAGAAAGCAATTTTCAATACATAGATTTGAAATTATGTTAGGCAGCGTGCTCAAATACTTTTTTCATCTGTGTGATCCTGTGCTTTTTCGTATGTATGTATTAGGAATGTTAATCCCGGGATCCCGGTATCCCTGATCTTTTTAAGGTCTCGAAAATCCCCGGAATCCTTTGCAAGTAATTCCGGGATTTTCGGGATTTGTAATTTGCACTGATGACAATAATAGAAACTCCTTTTCTTGACCAGTATTGGCTATATTTCTTTTTTTATTTAATAATTATTAATATTTTTTATAAATGTCTAGCCATCCCGAAAATCCCGGGATCGGAAATGGCCGAAAAATTAACATCCCTAGTATGTATGTATCTACAAAATGATGGATTCATTCGAAATAAAGAATAATTTTCAACCTATAAATACTAAATTTAGAACGTATATTACTTAAAAGGAAAGAAATAATTCCACAAAAACCCACATTGGGAAACTATTTGCTCTAGATTTCAAGCAGAGCTAAAATAAACTACAGACTGGTGTGTTGAAAAGGGATTCTGATTTAAAAGGAGGCCTGCTGGAGCGCCCTATGCATGAAGTTCTCAACCCATTCCCGGATGATCCCGCTATCAAGCTCACACAAACATCATGCGACCGCATTTACCCCTCTGCAAGCCCTAAAAGGTCGAAAATCCTGAAAAGGACTGCTGTGAAGCGATAATATTTATCTATGATTGACGAAGGGTCCCAATAATGACATACCCACGTACGTCGAAGATGGACGATGGGAGTACTAGGGAAAGCGTACTTGGACCACGATTTCAGAAAAGCCACCCCAGGGGACATACCCAACCATATTCCGGGAGGAAGTCTTCTCGAATAGCGACACATTGAATATTGATTCCAATTCTTTTATCTAATATTCCTCGAAGTATATGTTTTTACCTTCAATGACAAAAAAAATCACCCAAAACGGTTCATCCGAAGAGGAAATATTTTATTTTGTCCACCGCGCCTCGTTTCGGCCGACTGTGCGCCATTTGAGATTAAGCAAGGTTTTAAAAAGACAATACATTCTAATGGGACTGATTTAATCTGTGATACTAGAAAGGATAATTGAAGCTGGCAATCTTAGCGCCATGAATATTTAAACGGCACTAAAGTTTAATTGTGGATTGTGGTTTAAATGCCATTTAGCTTTCGTTTGGTTTTAGATCAACTTAATTTAAATATGTCAAACAAGTGGCAACACTGTTGCTTGCTTCTTGAAATTGTTGTTGCATTTGCTTGTTTGTTTGTTTATATTTTGTACTGAACAGCTGATTGTCCTTTGGCAAGATTGATAAAACAACCTAAATCGGGTACATATTTTTGACTGAAAATGCGAGTGCGAAAACTTTTTAAATGTGGCGTGTAGTACTGTGGGTGCCGTTTTCTGCTCTTGTCTATTTTAACAAAAAAATAAAAAAATAAATAAGAATACAAATTGCAGTGATTTGAACGGAAAATTTGCTATTTACCAGTTAAAAAAAATATTTTGCCTAATTCGTAAATTTTTTGTAACACCTTAACTACTTTTCTGGCAGCAGCTTAAGATATTTTATGAAATTTTTTCTACATTTTCAAACAGAAATTAATCTTAAGGAAAAATTACGACCTATAACATTATTCCACTACCCTCAAAGATGTAAATTTACTTGGAAATCGTTTAGCAAAAAAAAAACAACATTAGTAATTTACTTGTTAGCACATTTACCTATTTCTAATCTACGATATTTGTTAAGTGAATTGTGATTATGTTTTCTGATTAGAATTTTGCGAAATTGATGTTTCGTTTTGTGCGTACCATGCGTGAATTGTTTCGTTGTCCCGTTCTGTTGGAAGTCGTGGAATGACACATGATTTTGTTTAACACCATCTTGTTGCTGTAAAATAAAAAAAATAAAATGCTTATTAGATTATTTGCATACTTAAATGCATTTACAAAGTTGCAACTGCCTACCTTACTACTGGCACGTTTGCTGCGCTTGTGATGTTTCCGATCGTTGAACATGCGTCGGAAATTCATTTGCATTTTGTAATTCACCTGCAAAATGTTTGAATAATAAAAAAAAAAAAAAAAAACAAATGCAAATTAGTTTCAAAAATTACACAATAACATACAAGTGGCATACTTTCCAAACGAATGCATTTTATTGCCACGCTTGTAAACTACATACATACGATACGTAAACACAGAAATATGTACATTTGAATTATGTAAGATATGATTCGACATTTTGTACAAACACTACAATGATTTTTCTTATGCAGCAGTGCGAGCTAACATTTCAGAGATTTGTCAATTATTTAACTAGTACTTTGAAAATTTTCGGCAATCCCTTTCGAAGTTGTGTAGTACTTGTCTTTTTTTGGGGGGGGTTTCTTGACTTACCTGCGTAGACAAATCTCTGTCATCTACTGCGTGTCGGCTATAACTAAGGCGGCGGTGCTGTAAAAATAAAATGCAATTCACAAGGTATTAACGACAAGGTTTTTGCTTTTGGTTTTCAGTTTTAGGTATTTTTGCAATGGTTGGAAAACACTAGGCTTACAAACATAAAGAATTTAATAATATATATATTATGACTTGCAACAACTAAGCCGCAGTTTTGAGAAAGTAATTAATAACAATTTAAGAATATTATTTAAGACATTAAAGGTATTAAAGAACTATTAAAAAATGAATATATCAGCCTGCTTGTGAGTTAATTTGTTTTGAGAAAGTTTTTAAAAATCCAATATTTATTTTCTCACAATATCAATGATTTCAGAAAAAAGTCCGAATAAGAACATACTGAAATTAGGTACATAATAAGTTAATTAACAATTCAATAAGCAACACGGAGTTTTTAAGAGTGAGGAGTGCAAATATATAGCGACAGTTTATGTAAATGAATATCAAAATTTTAACAAAACTAAATACGTTAATTAAATTTTTTATAAACCAATAATTTCAATATTAACTTAGTAAAGAGTTCTTAGGAATAACTCAAAATATAAACACACAAAGAAAGAACTACCTAAAAATATAGAGCTAAAGTAATAAGATATGCATCTTTATCGAGCCCTAACCGTCAAAATAACGTAAGCGACATTTTTTTTTTTAATTGTCTTATTGATGCAGAAATATTCCTAGAGCATCTAGATGCCTTTCTGCATCAAAAAGAAAATTTTGAAAAAAATGTCGCTTACGTTATTTTGGCAGTTAGGGCTCGATATAACTTTTCTTCAAGAAGAACTTTCTTTTACATTGATAAATAAAACAGTATTAATAAAATGAATACGATTTTTTCTTTACTAAATAGTTTACCTAAATGAAAATTCTTAAACAGCGCGGACCTGGTTCGAAGGCGGGATTTCCCGCAGGTCTATTCGTTCTGTGACTTTTAAAAATCTCTGAGTGGTAACTTTCAATGCAAAAATAATCCTGTCAACAACTATCTTTCTACTACTTTCAAATTTTGAGTAAGTTATATAATACGGGGCAACACTAAGCGAGAGCCCTCCCAAGAGAGGCAAATTGTTTTCCGAAATGCAGAACTAAGACTTAGGATAGGAATAAATGTACATCTAAAAGAGGTGTCTGTTAGGAAAGGTTACACAGTATTAGGGAATGGAGCCTTATGTGTAAGACTTTAGAACACCAAAGACAAAAATATGAATAGCATTTTAATTAAAATTTAAATTTATACAATTCCTTATTAAAATAAACTTATTAATTGCATCTGTGAAAAAAGTGCATATTAAAGCGTGAATGTTTTTGTGGTAAAAAAATCGAAGTGCTTTTTGTAGTGTGTTAATATGTATGAATGCAAGCGATAACAATAATGGTCATGATTCAGGATATCTTTTACTCAGATACCGTATTGAAGATCTATCGCAAATCGGATGATACATTTAATGCACTGTGCATTCGTCTATATATATAACAAGAACCACTGAAATGTTTACGCTAAATTCATCGCCTATGTAACTTATTCTAAGTAAGAACAGAAATAAAGCATTCTCTATATTCACTTATCAAAATTTAGGTTAACTTCATAACAGTGTCAATGTTTGTAGTAAATTTCCCAATTTTTGTAAGGAACAAATTATTTTGTACATAAGTAAATATTTTTTCTAGCCTGACAAAATCATCGGCTGTAAATAGCTGAGACATTGACGATTCCGTGTGATATTTTGCACCATCAAGTGAATATATATCAAGACACTCACCAAAGAGAAAGTACTCTCACTCTTTAGCCGGTGAAATCAAATCGACTGGCGTGGTATCCAAATGAGTCTGATTGGGGCAAATCGGAGTAGACATTTACCTCTTTTGCCGAAGTCTTGCAGTTGAAAAGACATTCGACTACTTCCTAAATGCAAGCTCTACCTGCACAGGGATCTGGTGGAAGCCTAAATTAAAGGCTAATGAATAGTGTTCTGCATGAAAGAACCCTTCCACTGAGCCTTCTGTCAAGCTTCGATCCATTCGTGTGGAAATTCATCGGTGGCGCCTTGCAACTATAGATTCTTGTTCACTCATTCTTAAAAAGGAATGTGAGTCGCGTAATTGTCGCATAAAGTGGAGGATTCAGAATTAAACATTTTAACACTATTTAATTTTTTAGTCAATACTTTGAGCGAAAATCAAAAGCTAAAAAACGCAAAATTATTTTAAGAAAAAGCTTAGAAAAATCCTAGAAGCTAAACAGGATCTCTTGCGGCTAAACCCTGCTGAAATGGCTAAGAGGCGATAATCGCCTGCAAAAGTTTACTTGCTGTCTACACGAGCGATTTTTCTGGAGCAATGTTAAATCGTCTAAAAAATCTCCTCATGTAAATCCTGCTTTACCGTTCAATAATTAATGTTATCATAAACGACAGATATTTATGATACAAGTGCTATACTTATAGATGGCAACCTCCTCAAACTAATTTAACCTATCTAATCGATTCTAACTCTAAAAATTTTCTAACTAAGAGCGTTTATATTTCAAATCTAAAACTTCAGCCTTCTCAACAAAACTACAAAAAAAAATTTAAATTATGACCATTAGTGGTAAAGACTTGTGAAAGCAGAAAACTAGCACACAAACACAAATTTATACATGTGAAATAGATTTTTTTGCTACATAAAAATTATTTCAATAAATAAATAAATACATTTAAGACAATTAAAAGAATGACGTGAGAAAAAAATACTTATTTTTTTTATATTATTAGCACTTCATCAGTGTTATAGACATCAAATTTAACATCTTTGCTGATTATTTAAAAATTTAAACAAGTAATATTTGTTTATATGTATACTACGTGTGTAGAACAAATTTATTGTTGCTATTATTTTTAGTTTTATATTTAGAATGAAGTTTGACACAACAATTAACAAACAACAGCGGAAATAGCAATAAGTAAATATGTAGTAAGAGGATGCAATTTTCTTATCGTAAGTAAATAAAATAACCAATTTTTGCCGTACCATTTGCATTGAAGCCTGCTTATTAGTGAATTTTCGTTTTCGTTTTCGTTTTTTAATAGATTAGCATTGACGAAAGGTTTTTGGGTTTTCAGCAGTTTGTTTTGGAATTCGCGTCGCGTTTTGTTTGTTTTTCGAGTAAATTATATAACATTTGTTATTTTAAGAAATGTCGCGCATAGCGTTACGTCGAACATACATAAAAAGGGAAAGAAAATTTTTCGTTTCATTAAATAAATTTTAGCGTATTTTACTGAAGATTGATACTTAAGTTTTGGAAAAGGGATAGCATAGAGGTATGTATGTAAAAAAACTATGGAAAATAAGGTAAATAATAAATAAATGAAAACCTTATATGTTTTACATAGAAAGGTGGGAAAAAGGACGCGGAAAAAGTGGATTCAAAGCGAAAATATGTATAACGCACTTTATAAGCAAAATTTACATAAACAAATATAAATTATAGTTTGGGTGTATTTCGAACTAATTATTTTGTATAAAGTTACTCTACAAAGATTAATTCAAAATCAAATTTAATTAAATAAAATGTAACTAATACAAACCCTTCGATACGGTTTCAGCTCCTCGGCAAGTAGATGATGTATTTTTGCATCTGTCAGATCTTTTTTCGACGGATTATAATCCAACTCATGCATATCGAGATTGCGTGAGCAACTATTGTCCAGATTCGTAAGGCTTGGACTATGGCGAAATAAAGAATTGAAAAATATATAAATATATTCATTAAATTTTTCTGTTGCATTAAAGCGCAAAGTATAGTAGATATTTGACGTTTTTGCAAAGCATGAATGTTTGTATAAATTAAGTGTATATTTTTTAAAAAAGATAACAAATAGTTTAAGTATACAGTGTGTATTAGGCCGACTCATGAAAACAGTTTGCGTTGAAATGTTGCGTCGCGAGAATAATTTGATATTTTAGTCACAATCTAGTTTTCTTCTTACGGTTTCAGAGTGTGTTATACAGTGAAGAGCAAAACTGAAGCACTAATACAAAAAAATAAAAAAAATAAAAAAATTAAAATTGTGGCAATCGAATAAAATATACATATAAAAGAAGGGAGGTTTAGGGCCACGAATATACAAAAAAAATTATTATTTTTTCTTTTGGATAGTGACTCACTGAAAAGTATTGGCAAGAATTTTAGGTTATCTGTAAGCATACTTTTAAAGCTAAATTGAACTCAATTTCAAACGAACATCAAAAAACAAGAAAAATTGATAGCGGAACATAAAAATGTTTCAAAATATGGCGGACTCATTCATATTCTCATGAGCACTTCATTCGAAAGTAGACGAAAATTTTATTAAAAAATGTCATCAGTTTGAAGAAATTGATAGGGTTTTTAGAAGTATTGATGCAGATCTCTAATTTTATAGTTATGCATCATCAAAGGTATTTGCCATAAAAAAGGTATTTTTCTCAAAATTTTGAGACGAAAAGCTCGATTTTTTTTTTTTTTTTTTAATTTTCAACACAGTTCATCGACTAAAATTCCAAATTCAGGTAAAATATTTTTTGGCGAAGTCTATAAAAACGATAACATTTAATCTTTTTTTTCGTGAGGCACCCTTATACACGCACTGAAAAATTTGATCATGCTTTGCAAAAAAATAAATTTTTATGAGATGATTTCTACATGAATAACACTACATAGATACAATATGTTTAGTGTAAGTGAACGTATAGGTTAAGTGCCGTAGTTAGAGTTGTTTTTTTATACAACATTTTATTTAAAAAAACATAATAAAGTAAACGAATTTTAGTTACGGTGCATTTTTTAAGAAACATTTTAGTGTTTGAGGTACATACATATGTATTGTCAAACATTGATTTACGTATAAAGCGAATTGTGAAACGAAAGTACTTATTAAACAGTTGGGATTTATGGCCATTATATAAAACAGTTTCACGCTGCATCTAAAGAGGATCTAAGGGAAATTTTTTGTTCAACAACTTAACGTTTAACACAAAGTAAATGAAAATAAAGAATTTTAACAACATATTAGGTATTTTTTTTTTTTATAAATATAAATACTTTAACAAAAAATATAAAAATACAGTTTCTAAACTTTGAGCAAAACTCAGAAAAAATTTATAAATTTCCATGCGAATTCTCAATTTTTTAATCAGACTTTTTTTTAATTTTTTAGGAAGTTTTGTAGGTCATTAAATTTAAGTAAAAAATGCAAGTTTGAAGTTTGATTTTTGTTTTTTTTTTTTGCTGAAGGTTTTTCGCATTTTTTTCATACAAAATATTTTCGAGATTCATAGTCCTAGCTACTTAAAACTTGCATTTTATTACATTAAAATTGAATGGGCAAGAAGACTGCATACTCGAAAAAATTTGCAAAAAATCGGATCAAAAAGTTGAAAATTTGTATGAAATTTTATTGAATTTTCCGGAATTTTGCACAAAGTTTAGAAATTGCATTTTTATGTTTTTTTTTGTAATGCCAACCATATTTTTATAAAAAACTATTAGAAAATAAAAATAAAAATTTTGCATTCTAGCAAATCCTTTTGGCCGATAGTGTATATGAAAAAACTCTAAAAAGCTATCAGCAAAAAAAAAATATTAATTACATTCAAATCCCATGGACCCTAAAACTGCACATAAAAAAGGTCGAAATATTGATGGAAATTCGTTGCATTTTTCTAGATTTTGGTTAAAGCAGGGACCGTAAGGGTTATGATCGTTATAATAAAAGTCATTTATTTAAATTTTTTTTTTATTTAAATATTTTTTTTATATATATTTTTTTAATATTTTCGATCAAGAATAATCCTCATTTTGGAATTTTTATTTTTCGTTCAAGAATAATCCTTATTTTATCAATAAATTTTTGATAGGTAATTTTTATTTTTTGGATCAAATGTACTATAACCGTTGATTATAGATTTAATTTTTCAGATCATAAAAAATTAAATCGGTCTTAAAAATCCAGTCTCGATTACCTATAACGATTTAGATAATCGAAAAAATAAAAATCCAAATTTGACGATTATTCTTGGTCCGAATAAAAAAAATCAAAAAATAACGATTTCACAATGAACTGAAAATAAAAATTTGAATATTTAATAGTTATTTTATGGTTTAAAGTTTGAAATTTTCATGGTTTTGCCAATAGCGTGAAGAATATTTTAATGCAAAAATTACAAAAAAAAAAAAATTAAGTGGAAAAGAAAAAAATAATTTAAAAATTCATAAATTATAATTCAAATCACTTCAAATAATTTAATAATCATTTAAAATTTATGACTCGGCGCTCGCTTGTTTTTGTAATATTACATTTGAGTACTTACATTTTTGCTCAATACACAACTGGTAAATTAAAAGAAAAATTTTAAAATACTCAGAAACTGCATACCTAAGTACTATTCCATTATTTTGGCAGCGCAGACAGTGTAACATGCTAGCTAACAGTAAAGTCACTACAAAAAAATTGAATACCAAAAATCAATAAAACTACCAACTACTAGAAGTTTTTACAAAACCCAAAACAAACAAAAAAAAACATAATAATCCGTAAGCAAATGAAATTTGTTTTAAATTAAAACCATCTCACAAAGTCATAGTACATTTTTGTTTGCTTTTTCGCATTTACGAAAGTTTTACATGCACATTTTTCAGATTTTTTTCTTTCTCATTTTTTAGAATTGTTCCAAAATTCGTTTACCATGTTGTGTAAATAGTTGGTGGTGCCCACCTTCCACCAATACAATTACTGGTGTAATTTCTGAAGAGAGCACTCATCGATTCGGTGGCCGTTATTTGTCCGATGGTAGAGGGATTGCGACGCATCACTTCCATAGCATCACGCATCGTAAGTTTCGAATAGGTTTCTATGATTTTCGGTTCGGCGCCCTAAAAAAATAAATAAAAAATAGTGCTAATGCTAGTGTATATCCACCGAAAATAGTTTTTGTAGCGTCATTACCTTTAAATCTCTTATCACAAGCGGCCTGATGAAGCGGTTGTCGAAACGTTTGAACTTATCCCGCACATTGTAGTTGCCAGTCTTGCCAATTATATCTTCAATACCAGCCATCAAGTGGTCCATGAACTGAAAATTTGTTGGAATAAATATAAAAAAAAAATGATTATTTCAAAAAATTATTTTAAAAACTCTGTGCAGTGGGTATCAAATTAAAGGAAAATTCTGTAGAATTAAAGCCGATTAAAATTTTTAGTGCCAAATGTCGATTACGTATTGAAAATATCCTTTTAAAATTGTATCCTTGAATAAGTGTCCTTGAAATTTTGCAATAATTATTTTTGAAAAAATTATATGTTAAGGACTCACTTGATTATACACTCTAACATTAAAAAATAAGACTAATTAAAAGGGCATCTTCAATACCTATTCGTCTTGTGAACCAAACAATTTTATTTTATTTTTTAATTCTATAGTATTTTCTCTTCCACATGATACGCATATGGTTATTATTTTATATTGTACTGGATTTTTAAATAATTTTTGAAATTAGTCAAACTGAATTAGTGAAACTACAAAGTCCTTTGAAACAAATCCTTACGTCAGAGAGAAAAACTGAAAACGCAGTTTTACTGAATTTGGCCCACTGTTTAGTGCGCATATTGATTGTTTCGTTTGTATCGAAATTTTTTTTGGTGTTTTTGTCGCAGGGCGTAAATTAAATTAATAAGTTCGACAACCGAACAAGTCCAAAATCAGCGTTCCGAGATAATCAATAAAAATCTTTTTTTTTAACTCTGAATGTATTGGACTTAACGGAAAATGGCTTCAGACCGTTTCTTGTAGAACGTTCAATTCTTAATTTCTTCGCCAACTAAAAATGAAAACATTTTGGGAAAGCGACCTGTTCTAGAAAAATTATGTACAGATCCGCAATCATCGACCCAAAATGAAGTTTACGTGTCTCGGCGTTTTTGGGGGTCATTTTAGCATCCCTAAAGAGTAATTTAAGTAGGATATTCAAGTGGTTAATAATAAAGAAAAAAAATAAATAAATTTCCTAATTGCTCATTTTGGGTGCCTATCTGAATATAGTATTGATCTCAAGTTTCAAGCAAATGCATCTTTTTTTAAATCAATTCATAATTATCAGCTTTAAATCCAATTAAAACTTACCCGCTCATGTATGCGTTCATTCATTGTTGGCTTTTTCTTGCTTGCACGCTTCACTTTCAACAACTTCACCAGCGGTTTTATCGTTATGCCTTGCAGGAAAACAGTGAAATAAATCACAGCTATTGTGGTTGTCACATACATATCCTTTTGTTTGACGATACGCTCATCGACCAACAGCACCAATGCAAAGGCGACCGCACCACGTAAACCGCCATAGGACATAACAAATTGATCGACACGTGACAACTTGTGCAATCGGAAACGATTCGCCAATGCAGATAATATCACAACTCCTATAAATGCATAAGAACAAAAATGTAGAAAGGGCGTAGCAAATAATGTATTTGTTATACGTAAGCAGTGCGTATTATTTTATATAAAACTACGTGGAAATGCATTTGACAGCTCTTACCAAAAACACGATACACCGAACAGAATGTAATAGTCAACAGTACAAAGGCAGTGTTCCACACGTGATTATTATTGACTGTTGCCACACCGAGGAACATGAATATAATTGTTTCCGATGAACTGGATAACATTTTCAGTGCATATTTTATTGTTGTATGCGATTTTTGTGAAATATTCGCTTCAACATAGTTTTTCATTGTAATGCCACAGAAGGTTATGCTGTAAAAAGAGTAATTGAAATGGTTTCAGTTATGTAGAATGGGTTGTTTGCAATTCTTGGAGAAATGTGAAACGATTTTCACTTACGCTAAAATGCCACTCATATGGAATATTTCCGCATTAAGATAAGCCAAATATGCCATTACAAAGATGAAGATCGGTTCAATGACACGCACATGATCGGTGAAACGAGTCACTAGACCGGTTAGGAAGCCCCAAATTATGCCTATTAGAATATGTAAGAAAACAATTACATATATTTTTTACGAACATTAGCGTTGAAAAAAGTGCAAATTTACTTGTATTTTTGCAACCTTAAAATTTCTTAAACATTTCCTAATGAAATTTTACATTTATTTTATAGATATAAATGAATTAAATTTTTCAAATAGGTGGCGACCCTGCTCAAAAATATGTTCACCGGAACATTATTAAACTGACCGGAAGCCCATTTTTTTAACCGGATGTCCATTCCAGAAAAAGTTTCCGACAAAAGCTATATATTTTTACTCCTAAAATCCGAATCTGTGATAAAAATATGTATATCCTATTTAAAAAAAAAGATTGACTTCCAGTCAGTTTACTCCACTTCCAATCGAAACCGGTAGTCGATAATACGACCAAAAGATAGAGCGTAGCTTTTCGAAATCGAAGCTCATCAAGAAGTACTTAAGATCTACTATGTCGCGCTTTAGTTATGTTATCTATCGAACACGAGATTGTCACTCAGTTTAACTTGTCCAAAACCATCTAAAAATTGGCTCTAGCCAAAGCACGCAAAGTAGACTTTTTGTAATTTTGGTACAAAGCTCAAAAAAAGATTGAAATAAATGTTAATAAGCCACAATAATAATGACAAACTTTTTATAAGTCATATTTGAATTATAATAAAAACTAAAAATTTATATAAGAAAACGAGGCGATAAATATTATTTTCAAAGGGCGCCTCGTTCCATTTACGCCCCGGGCGTCGTTGCTACTAAAGCCGGCCCCGAATGGGAGGGAATAATATTTGAAGTAGTTAAAAAAATACTCACCAATGACAGTACCACCAATGGCAACAACAAAGAAGGAACCTACGCCGCTGGCAATATCTTGAGCAATTATCTCAGATATGCCGATTTCGTTGTATACTTCCATCATATGATACATAACGACCTGCAAAAATAACAAAGTTAACAAACTTATTAAATTATTACATAATAAAATGAGGGAATTTTTAAATATATCTTCTAGAATGATATAAAAAATCTTGAAATGCCATATCCAACACTTTTTTCTTTAAAGAGTAATTAAAAACCCTGATATAGTGAGTTCTACATATAAGGTTTTAGTGACACTAAATACTAACTTTTTTGGACATTAACTTTTTATAAAAAAGTGAGTAATATCACTAAGAATCGTATAGAATTTTCTTTTTCAAGAAATTCGCACCTAAAGAACTTCAGTTTCCATAAAGTTTTTTTTAATTACTCTGTTAATGCCATGTTCAGACCGACATCGAAATCATGTTGTCGTTGCTAAAACTGGTTTTCAACTTAAAACTTGTGTGTTTTCGTCCATGTAAAATCTGTCAAACCAAACCCATTTTTCGCTGAAAACTACTTGAAACTCACGTTCCACTCATTCCAATCAGTGTTTGCACTAGTTTTTTTCGATTATTCATCGAAGCGGAAGTCATATTTTATCATCTTTAATATGGCAGTTCGGATTTATTGTTAATTGGCTGACCAAGTTAAAATAAGAATAAAAGAAAAAGACTGTTAATGAAAATAAAATGAAAGAAAAAGATTTTGGTTTTTTTTTGCAGCAAACTGCAAAAAAAAAAGGTTTTAACAAATGTCAACGAAAACACTAACAGCCGGTGCGAACCGTCTTCAGCCCACAATCCCTAAACTCGTTTTCAAATTCGGTGCGAACGTGGCATAAGAATTGTTAGTTATGCCCTAAATATGTAGTATAATGTCAACCACTTGCAATAACTTTATCCGATTCCTTATTACTTGGATTATTATTTGACTTAACTCTTCAAAAGCATTCTATAGTACCTATTTCACTTACCGTCACAGCATCGTTTAACAGTGATTCACCAAATACAACAATATATAGTACTTCATTGACGTGAATCTCTTCAAAAACGGCCAAAACAGCTACCGGATCAACAGCAGAAATTAACGCAGCAAACAGGAATGTGTCCAGAAATCGTGGAACTTCAGGACCAAACATGCCAGTCAAACCGCAACCCCAAAGTGAAAGACCTGTAATGAAATATTCCGTTTGGCTAATTAATTTAATAATTAAGATATGTATCTAGTTAAGAACATAATAAACAAATATTTTAAAAGAGCTTTCTAATTGGACAGGCATTTGAAGTAGGTTGTATCCCATACATAATGGCATAAGTATATGGAGCCTCTTAAATAAAAAATAATAATTAATTTTTTAATACCATCCGAGCCGAATTGGTTCATTAAGAACCCATTATAAGCAGAAGGGATAAATCGATAGGGTACTTGTATCAAACAAGGTATCGATGCCTACTCAGTATCGGCAAGGTATCGAGTACTTGTGCATAGAACTACGATTTTGCATATTTTTCAAAGTTATTGAATATTTTCTCACAAAAAATATGAATTTTTAAAAGATTATTTTTTAATTAATATTTTTTCATACAAAAATTTAAGACAATAATTATTTTTGTATAGTATTTGGTTTCAAAAACAATAGAATATATTTTTACAAGATTCATAGAAAAAGTTTTTTCATATAAAATAAGTTTAAGAAACGAACTACTTCTTTGTTATATTTCCCAAATACATAAAGGCGGTTTCCCAAAGACATAAGACGGGTTTGCTTATATAGCTGCGGAAATGTAGTGTGCATATCTTCCCATTCCTCTAATGGGTTGCTTTTCAAAGAAGATACTGAAGCATAATAAGTTATGCGCTTCCGATACGAGTACTTTTTTTTCGATACCTACCTACTTGGATCGCAGTAAAAAGTATCGAGTTCAAAAATACTTGGTAAATTGAGAAAAATATCGAGTATGTACTTGGATTTACTTGTATCGATTCATCCCTAATAAGCAGTCTTCATTTCAACTTAAAAGACTTTTAAGGGCCGTTTTGCCATTTGAAAAGGACTTTCCTGGGTGATGGGTGTAGATTAAGCCCCATATAATATAATTAAGGTGACCAGATTTCTGTGGCCAAAAATCGGGACATTTCTGAAGCATTGTATACAAACGTACAATTTTGCTTTTAGAATAAATTATTGCCAAAAAGTAAGCACACAATATATACATAAAAATTCGACGAATTTTAACAAATGTTGATAAAAATGTTAAAAATTTTGATCAGATTTTCCAGAATATTTTTGACTATGCAGTTTTGTAGCCTATCAAATTTTAGTATAATGAAGTACAAGTTTGAAGTAGCTTGGAGCTTGGAGTATGTTCAAATATTTTTTTGTATAGAGAAAGTGAGCAACACCTTCCAATCATAATGTTTTTAAGAAATCTAATTAAAAAGCTTAACATTTTGAATAACATTGTCGAATTTTGGTAGTTTTTGTATAAAGTTTGAAATTTGGGCTTACATTGTCTTTGTTAGTTAACGAGCTACACTTTCATAAAAAAATAATAAATATTAAATAATCGAAAGGGGTATAGCCAAAGAATGCTAGAATATATTTTCCTTATTAATGTTTTCCATGATTTTTTTTTGAGGGAATTAATATCTATTTTTTTTTATAATTTCACTAAATTCAAGTAAGAATCGTTTCATTAAAAAAAAACTTAGCAAACAATTATAAAAACCTTTAAGAAAATTTTACAAGAATGATAGGCTGGAATATAGCGAGAGTACCAGTTTGACAGAATAAAACATAACCAAAGATCATAGAAAATTAGGATGCTGGCTATGTTTATGGGTCCCTTATATTCTATGTCTTTTGTGATAAGAAAAGAGCTGAGACGTTTGTACGAATAATTTTTTTTGGCCCAGAGACCACTTATATGTCCCGACCTTTAAAAAATATTCAGCAGGACAATTTTCTCAAAATCGGTGCTGTCCCGCCAAAATCGGTACGAATGGTCACCGTAAATATAATAGATTCATAAATAATCTCAGAAGTTTGATCCATCCTTAACCAAAGGAGTGACCCACCTTGCGACGCATCATGCTACGTACGCCTACTACTAAGCTGGATTTTTTTTTTTTAATGTGTGATTTCCTAATCTACTCAAATTGCTTTTTATTCATCTGTATCTTTAATTCTTGCGTTAGAAATTTCCGCTCATCCGCTACATAACGAAATGCGTCAGTTGTGTACGTAAGTGAAATTGTTATACCCCTTGGGCTAACGTCAATGCTTGAGGTGTATGTATGTATTAGGGATGTTGAGAATGTGGAATTTTAGACATCCGCGGATGCGAATGCGCATATCAAGTATTTTTAAGAAATAATTTAGGTGAATAATAAAAAATGGAAAGGTTAGTAATTTTTAACTCAACTTTTTCACAAAATTAAAATAAATGTTGTTTTTGAGCGCACAGAGGAGTATTCGCATAGATGAATCGGTCAAAATTATTTGGTGTGTTTTTGTATTAGGTAATAAAAAAAAACACGGAACTTAATCATAAGCCGTTTTATGAAACCAAAAATTAATACACTTATCCAAGAAAAAGTAGAATAATAGAATAGAGATGCATTCAGTTTTTTCAACAGACCTTTGGCAAATAATATTCGATAGTTACATAATTCTTACCCAAATAAAGGTTATATTTTAACGCGCAAATAATCGATTCTCTTTATAGCCAGACCTGGAACATTTTCGCTGGAAATACCTATTGAAGGACCTTTCTCTTTGATTTTAAATTACAAAAGCAGGGGGACGTAGGGGCGACTACTTTAACGAAGCATCTGCACAGGCAAAAAATATTGGCTACAATTTGTCATTTTGTTGGCCAGATATACGTTTTATACGAGTATACTTGCACAATATTCGCATTCGCAAAAGGTCCGCATTGATTATTGCGAATGCGAATGTTAAAATTGATGCGAATATTCGCAACCACCCTGGTATGTATGGTAGGGAGCTATGAAAGTAAATGAATACATACATATGTCCTTATATGCACACATATGTATGTTTTTCATTTGATCTGACACCACCAGTTGTTGCGAATGTTTAATTTTAGACATCCGAGGATGCGAATGCGGATGTGGAAGTCTAAAAGCTAACATCCGCGGATGCGGTTGTCAAGTATTTTTACGAGATACTTACTTACGTTAAAGTAAATTAGGTGATCTAGGTAAATAAAAAAAAGGAAAAAGTTTGTAATTTTTAATAAAATTTATTTTATTTAGTACTTGAATTCAAAAATTGTAACACTAAATTTAATAAAAAGTAATTATGCTACCTCTTCAGGTTGCAGCGTGTTTTTTAAAGGGTCGCAAATCAAATCTGCGCCACCAAATAACTGCTCGCTCGAGGCGACAAATTGCTGCGTGTGAAATTTGACAATACAAAAGTATGTACATATTTAAATTATTTTCGATTGACGCCAGTTGAGAGGACTCTCAGTTATATTTTTATTTTTTATTGCGGTATAAGAATAATTTTTCTTTTAGAATTACGATGTGATTGAAGGGTAATATGAACCGCATAAGGACTAGTTTTCACTATGTCAAATTTTGACGCCATATTTTGACACAACTTCATCTCTTTTATCTATACCCTTACCGATAATATTATGGGACAAAAGCTGACAGATAGCCGATTTAGCAGCGCATATACGCGACTAAAGACCTATCCTGATTGAAATCAATCGATAAATCGCTTTTTAATCCCATTTGACAATGTGTTTTCATTAATTTGACGCCAAATGCCACTGAATTCGACATAGTGAAAAGCAGCCTTAAGAAAAAATTTCTGTAGAAAAAATGGAAATCTGAATTTTTGCTAATTTTTAATGGATACCACCGCACAACAAAAATAAAAAAAAACATTTGGTACGGCAAATGTTAAAGCTGTTTTAGATAGACTTTTTTCTGCTGTTTCCAGTTTCCATCTGCTCCAGATTTTGAAAAAAAACGAGGTCAAAGTGTCAAAAAATCGCGTTTTTTTCAATATTTTTAGAAGCTCCAGCAAAAGGTGATAGAAGAACCATCCTATAGATATATTCGGCTCACTGAAGTAGGTGCAGCTCCAAGCGGGTGTCTATCTCGGAGCAAGCGGCCCGCTATATAAACGTGTATTCGATGAAGAAACCACCGCCTCCCAGCAAACGCTTATGCGCTGGGTTTTGGGACTCGCCACGTAAAAACCATTCTCAGTGAAAAAAATAAAAAATTTACGAGCCTTTACGCATTGGCGACGGTGAGTACCTACCGAAGACGATGGTACGATGAGCCTTACATACAACGACATTAGGTTTGTTCGTCGAAAATCCAGCAAGAATTATCCAACACTCAAAATATCAGAGAGTAAGAAAAAATTCTCTCAAATTCTCTCTCATATTGAGAAACTTGCAAATTTCTGCACGAACGCAAATTTGCAGGAATTTGCAAGCTTCGCTGCCAGCTGGCGTCCACGGTTGCATTTCAAACATAAAAAATTTTCATAGAATTTTTAAAATTCTTTCGGATGGCCAAAAACAGGATATACATGTATATTTCTTGTTGTTCTGACTTTCTTTAATATACATTTCAATATCTTCATCGTACTAGCTGTCGGGTTTCTTAAATCGACTCTGGTTGCAATTGCGTTCCGATTGCGAATACCATTTTTTTCAGCCGAATTAAGTTCAAATCATTGGAATTAACTAAATTAATTACATCAACAATTATTTACTTCCTTTTTTCATAAAAAAATCGCTCGTGTTTATAAATTTTTAAATTTAACGAACTAATTTATTCAAATTATTGTAGACAGAAATGCAACCATGCACCACAACCACATGTTTTTCGTGTTTGCAAATTCTTGCTGGCAAAATTTTTTCCAGCAAGAATTTGCAACTTCTCTCCAAGAGAACTGTCACTTTGCTCTCACAATTTTTGAGTGTTGGATAATTTTTTGGTCTGCACGAACGCGATTTGGGCAAAAATCGTGATAATTCGTACAAATTCGTACAAATTTTTTGCTCGACGAACAAACCTATTGACATAGTGCAGCGAATTGAACTACAGCGGCTCCGCTGGCTTCACTTGGCATTTCCAATTGGTGTCAATTTGCACACCAAATGAGAGAAATAGAA